GGAGCACAAAGTAGTAAATAAATTCAGGGGTTACAAGCACCATATGTCAAAGAGTTATCACTATTTGGTTAAGAAGAAAGGAGGAAATTGATAGGAAAATAAATTGCATCTCTGATCTTATAAGAGGGTTCTGCAAACAACAGGCAGTTAAATACACCTAATGTGATTTCACAGATTCCTCTGTGCAGCAAGGTCTCTGCATAAGGGAGGCCAGGGGAAGAAGAAAGGAACAGAAGGATGAAGAAAGGAGATGCTTCTACCTTTTTGAGCTAGGTCATCTTTCCTCCCATTACATTCCCTTCTCTCTCCAGCTTCCCCTCCCAGCTTGCAAGTAGGACGAGTTAGAGAGTATCTCCAACCTTCAGCAGGGAGGAATTTTGCATGAGACCCCTGTCAATTTCACCTCTGCAGTGCCCCTGTCCCAGATTAAAACAAAAACAAACGAACAAAAAAAACCCTCCCCTCCCCTGTGTATCCTTTCCCACCCTATCAAAACCTCATGGTGAGTCCACACCGCATCACCAGTTTGGTTTGCTTTCCTATTTTCAGATATCATCTACCTTTATCGCTATTAGTTCACACTCCCAACACTTTATATGGGTTTGTAAAGTTTAGTTTTAGAAGTCCGAAGGCTTCCTTCACTTCCCTTGGGAGACTAGCTCACAGCCTAATATGTCTCACTGTCTGTCAGGATGTTTTTCTTATAAGCTGCCCTCTTTCAGTTTCATCCTGTTGCTTCAAGCAGTATCCAAAATAAATTCCTATCCCTCCTTGCTGTTTGTGGCTTCCAAATATCCATAGGTTGCTCTGACTAAATGTAGTATTCTAATTATGGGTGTGGTCACAACAGAGCTGGGGAGAGAGGGATATGCCTGTGTGCATATGTCATAACTATAAAGGGAAGGGTAACAGCTCTCTGTGTACAGAGACTCCAAATCCTTTTACCTGTAAAGGGTTAAGAAGCTCGGGTAACCTGGCTGACACCTGACCCAAGGACCAATAAGGAGACAAGATACTTTCAAATCTTGGGGGGGGAAAGGCTTTTGTGTGTGCTCTTTGTTTTAAGGGGTGGTTCGCTCTTGGGACTGAGAGGGACCAGACATCAATCCAGGTTCTCCCCATCTTTCTAAACAAGTCTCTCCTATTTCAAACTAGTAAGTAAAAAGACAGCAAGGCGTCTTAGATTTACTTTGTTTTCTCAACTTGTAAATGTACCTTTTTACCAGAGTGTGTATCTTTGTTTGCTGTACTTTGAACCTAAGACAGAGGGGAGTCCTCTGAGCTCTTTAAGTTTGATTACCCTGTAAAGTATTCTCCATACTGATTTTACAGAGATGATTTTTACCTTTTTCTTTAATTAAAAGCCTTCTTTTTTAAGAACCAGATTGATTTCTCCTTGTTTTAAGATCCAAGGGGGTTTGGATCTGT